CATGGACTATCATATCACATAAAGATACTGTGTATACTTGTTGCGTATACAGTGTATTCTGATCAATAGAATCAATAACACAGTGTGATCCTCCTCCGATCTGTTGGATCTAAAATAATAAAAAAAATGTTATATGTTGTAAAAATTTAAAACTAAGATCGGTGACACTATAAAAATTTAAAAATAAAACATTATTATATTCAACGTAATATGTTTATTATTAATACATTAATTTATAATATAATATAATTTATTAATAATATATTTGTTATTTAATAACCAATATTAATTAGTATAATGACAGTTATTATATCCTTTAAAAAAACATGTATTATATTATTTGGTTCTATCATTTTTACCTTTTAATTTATGAATTGTTAAAAATGTATCCTCTCGTCTTTACTTATTGTGAACTTATCGTGTTTCTCACATTTTTTGTCTAATGTCAGTCAATAATCTGATGCTAAAGATATTTTATGAGTCAAGCTTCCAAAAACAACTGGATCCTACATTTCCCAGAAGGCAACTTTACTCTGTTGAAGCATCATTGGCGCTATCTTCTCCTCCAGAGACACAGACATCAGACAGATGTTTGAGGTAAACCGGTTGAAATCAGTTTATAAAAACAAAAAGGTTGCTGTGAATTTGTGACGCAACAATCCCCAAAAAGCTTTTGAAATGCTCTTTAAGTTGTGACTTTATTATAATTCTAATTAAAACAACGCTGGGTGTATCTCTGATGACTTTCAGCAGGTTCGGGTTTCATTAACGGCACGTTGGCGCCGTGTCGCCGTCGGACCGCCAGCGAGGGAGCGGCTGCCAATCTCCTGTCATTAGAATTCACTGGCAGCATATGACGAGGCCATATGGGCTATTAACAAACCCAACCTCTCTGCAGACCGAGGGAGGGAGGGTGGGAGGGAGAGGGCGAGTGCGACCTCGCCATATGGAAGACGAAGACATAAAACGTGGGAGAGACAGAGGTAAAGACGGACGGGTGGATCTGGCAGATCTTCATCAGCGGTTAGCGCGTCCTGTTAGCATTAATTACAGACAGAGGTGAGGACGGACGGATGGACAGATGTACAGCAGGAGGAAGATGAGGGGATGAAGGAGGGATGAAGAGGGTCTTCAGGTGGTGTGAAGCTCCCTCCGGTGGCCATGTTGGAGGTCTTTAATTAGCTCTGTGAACAGCTGACGTTGTTCCACAGGACCCACTTCAGAAACCAACAAACTCAACTTACGACTGAATGGATTCAGCTATTGATTGGTTTAAGGAAATAGTGAGAAATGCCGTAATAGATTACCCAGAGTTCACAGCGACACCTTCACAATATTTCCTCTGTCACAACCCGGCTGAAAGCGAGACGAGAGAAAACTGAACAGCTGATAAACTGAACGATGAACCAACAGTGAACTCAGTAACTGTCTGTGGGAAACCAGAGATTTGGATGAATTGTGAGCAGATTATTTCCTGTGAATATTAATCAGAGATGTGATTTTCTGATATTCTTAGGAACTCTCTGTATTATATATATTACAATATTTAATATTTATCAAATGAGTCTGGTGGCTTTGAAAAGAGACAGAGAGCTGTAGTGGAGCAAAAACTCAGTTTTAGAGTAAACATTTGACCTCTGTACGCCATCATTGAGTGTTTGCATTGTCGATCGTCAAGTGTTTGCACCGATGACTCGGTGTGTTGTTTCTGTTTTTCTGTCCACCCTTCTATCAGTGACGGCAGGTTGAATATTAGAAGCTGGGGACCGTTTTGGTTCTGCTAGGAACATACTGAGTTCACTGGGAAGCAGCTGAAGATCATTTTCTTCTTTCCTCCGTCGAGCGCTTTGCGGCGAGCAGCAGCCGGCGCTGTCCGTCAGACAGAGTGATGGATGGAGAGACGGACGGATGGAGTCAGAGATGAAGCTGTACGAGCTTCAGCCATCTGGACCGTTAGCGCCTGAGACCGCGGAGGGAAGGAAAGAGTGTGGAGGCCATATGTTCTGTTTACGGCTCAGGAAGGAGAGAAAAGGAGACGCTGCAGTTTGTTTCTGTCCAGCTGTGGCAGGAAATAATTCTCTTTCAAAATAAAATGTGGATTCTGTTCTTCTGAACATCTGGATCAAAGAATGCCTCGTGTTCTGGACGAGTGCAGCGCTGCTCTTTCTGCAGATGATACAATTATATATCAACAAAAACTGAATTAATGACAGAATCTGAACTGTTTATTGATTTTCGTCTTACTTTTATACCTGTTATGTGTCTTCTTTGTTGTGTGCGGACCCCTGGAAGAGTAGCTGCTACACTAATGGAGATCCAAGAATAAAAGTAAAGTGTTTGTTCACAACAAAACAACGCAAGGAAGCAAAAAGCAGAATGAACGAGATGGAGGAAGTCCATGCAAATCCATTTTCAACTTCCCCTTTCTGACAGGCAGTCGTCGTATGGATCTCTTCAAACCACCAGACTGCTGTGATAAAAACAGTGACTTTACCTCACAGAACAGTTGCTGGACTACAGCTGGAATTTATTAAGACCAGTGGAAACACAAGCAACTGGACTCAAACTCAAGACAAGAGACAGGATCTTGATACAGAAATAACACAGTCTTTACCTGGGGTGGGTGGGGCACAGAGACAGAGCAGGTCGTCCCTTAATCGGAAGGTTGTTGGTTCGATCCCCGGCTCCTCCTGCCACACGTCAAAGTATCCTTGAGCAAGATACTGATTCCTAAATTGCTCCTGATGCTGTGCATGTAAATGTGAATGTGTATGAATGAGTTAGTTGTAGTGAAAAGTGATTTGAGTACAAAATAAAACAGTGACTTCAAAATAAAACACTAAAATTTATGACAGACATGATAGTAAAATTCTCAAATAAAACTAAAATACTGAACTCTATCAATTAGTGCAGGTTTTTCAAAGGCTGATCACGATATCTAGACAGCGAAATATAATGATATCAAAACAAACAAACATGTATATTTACATTATTCCATGCAAAATGTTCAGAAATCTTGAGGTCAAGGGATGCTTTTGAAAATGGCCATGCCAGTTTTTCCATTGCCAAACTTTGTAAAGTTATCTTTTTCATCCCAAGAGCCAATCACAATGCACGGCAGTATTGGATGTTGGACCGCCGTCTTGTTTAGAGAACATTGCTGTCCTCTGTTACCGATCACTCTTCTCTGCTTCCATCACAGTTAGTTTTACTTTAGTTTGTGGTCATTTCAGTACCTCCAGTCATAAAAGATTACGCTGCTTGTTGCAATGTTTTAAGGATTTTTTTTTACTACTAGTTCCCAAACCCTAATCCTAATCTCAGTAATCGATAGTAATACTCTTTGTTGTTTTGCAATGAAATTGCAAGAGAAAATTTGAATTTGAACAGTTTTTTTTTGTATAATTCAT